AAAAAAAAAAAGGTACCCTGGTTGCCGAGTTCACGAAGTGACTTGGCTTGTTTTACAACGTCGTTGCCAAGCGACGAAAACCCAATCCCGATGGCAAGCACCGGGGGGGGGCGGCTTGTTTTACAACGTCGTTGCTAAGCGACGAAAACACAACCCCGATGGCAAACACAACGGGGGGGGCGAGAAGGGGGGTACGCAATTTAGGAAAGAGAGGGGTCGGGTAAGGGGTAACAAGGCCATAGACCACGTCAGCCTACAACAACAAATGCATCCGCAACAACACAAAGAGCCACATCAGCAAAAGGGGAGTACAGAACAGGTAAGGAGGGGGAGACGCAACTACCTGGTGTGCGGGGAGTAAAAAACCACCAAGAAGAAAGATGGTAAGATGCTCGGTAGGCATCGTTATCTAACCCCAGTGTCACGCTGAACATGACCTGGGCACTAAGGAGTGATGGTGGGAGTTGTTCCTGCACCAAAACGCCGATAGCGACAAACGAGCACAACAACGACAACGAACACCCACCAGAAACACCACCGACACCGTGTGATCACCTGACAACAACAGCACATTTACACCTGGCAACAACAGCAACGACACGCTGCCATACTGTTGCGGCATACCTGACGAGTCCACGGATGCCCCCCCTCTTCCCCTTTCCGGACTCGCCGCCGGATGCGGCGGACACGATGCCCGACGAGGGCATGATGTGGACGGTATTGTCGAGGGCGTGATAATTCTCGTTGCCGTAGTCGGTGTCGAGATTGTCATCGACCACCTAAAACAAATTAGATACACATACAACGACAAAAATGGTGAAAGGCGATGACTTGAAACGAAAACCCTTCCACGAAAGAAAAGAAGAAGGCAAAAACGAATTTCGGATATGAAACTCCATGATGCGTGAAAAGAAAAAAACACCGAAAACAAACGAATGACGAAGACACAACGAACATCGCCAAAAACAATTTGATTTGTCAGCCGTAACACACAAAGCACCAATCCAAACGCCCCGTGAACGCTTCCTTCCATTCCCACAAGAACCCGTCCTAGAAACATAAAACACTACAGGGACACGCTCCAACTCAAAGAGGACTGACCATCTTGCAAGAGAAAAGCCTGTAACTACTGCCAAAAGTGGAACGCGCAACCCATGAGGGCATACATCATCAGTAGAAAAAAAAACACGTACCCGATGGACGCCTCCCTCCTTCTCTACGAGATCCGTCACGTGAAACTTCCTGTGGTAGCTCTGCCAGGTGGCCCGCAGCCGGGGGGGGAGGTGGGCGAAGCGCCCGGCGCCCCCACCGCCGTTTCCGGGCAAGGACAGAATCGCGGACGCGGTAGCCGAGCTCAACTGCAAGAAAGAAGAGGCAAGTTAGAAGCACCAGCAAGCACAGTAGGTTCTTCTGCTGAGCCGTTGTTGGCTTAGAGGGTGGAGAGGGAGAGGCATATAGACTACAGTACTACAAAGTATACGGTTCCAGATACAGAGACCTGGGTGTTAACAGCATCTGGTATAACAAGCCGCACGTTGAGAACCGACCTTTGAGCACAGGTTCCAAACAAATCTTGCTTACCGCCTGGGGTCGTAATGGTCGTCAAACTTACCCCAAATGCTTCGGATTGCAAAGGCTGCCCTACTTACCCCAGAGGGTTTTGATTGGCTGATCTCTTCATCTTCGCCATTGGCCAGGACCACGCTGCCGTACCGAATGCGGTGCCAGTACACCCTTGACGTCATAATCGGAACGTACCTTGACAGCAGCAGCAGACAGATGTACATCGAAACAGCAGCAGCGACAGCATGGGGCTGCATTGGTCTGGTCGGCAAAATGGAATGAGATCAGCCATCTACGTAACTATACCTCGGCGAAAAAAGAGATTACGCAGCTCTAACAAGGCTGGCCGACGCAGGGTAAGTAAGCATCAAAGGGGCATTTGAATTATTCCAGTCCGGCCAAGCATGAACAATAAACAAAGTTCGTTTCTTGACAAAACTGTGCGTGCTTACGTGCACATCACCTCCAGAACACTACCTGGCAGACAGATTCACGACGAACAAAGTCAGTAAGGACCCGATTATTGAGACATAAGCACCACGTTCCTACGACTCCACCAACAAACACAAAAATATTTGTTCGCGAATAAGCAAGTGCCGGTTCGATACCGACGAAACGACGAATCACCACAAAACAAGACTGACTCGGCACACAAACGCGAAAGCCAACACGAAAGGGTACTGTACCGACCACGTTGTCAATACGAAGACACGCACAGCTGTACCTCCATACAATCGGCCATTCGGCGTCGCCAAGGAACCGGTCCTTCTTGAGCTCTTCGACGACGTGCTCTAGCTTGGACTCCACGGCCGAGCAAGCCCTGATGAAGATCTCCGTCTGAGCCTGAGCAAAATAAAGACAGGCAAAACAAAACCACATGGGTGGGAGATTATTGCATAACTTTTCGGACCTGGATTTGTTTTTATAGCTCACGTGTCCATCTACACCACAAACAAGAACTTCAATGAAGGTTTCCGGGTAGGGCATGCATCGCAAAGGATCTACAGCAGCTACTGTTCTTCCCCGTAACCACAACATGAAACACCGCGCTCCACGCGACAGCATCTACGGGGATAATCAAACGAGAAACGTCTCCACCGGCCTCGGAAACCGTATACGAAAACCAAGACACCCCTTCTTGTCAAGGAATACGTGCCGTAAGGATTATTACAGCAGGGGTACTGGAACGGACGGCAATCTACGGGGTGACAAAAACACCTACACATATGCCTCCGTTTTCCTCTTACAACCAACAGCGACCGCTTTATTTCCACTGCTCTTGGAAAGCCAGCTACACACGAACTCCCGTGGGCACACACCTTGGTTGCCCTGTCCATGCGGAAGTAGCTGAGAAGCTTCCCGCAGGTGGTGCCGTTGATGAGGAGAGTCATGATGGCGAGGCCGGCCATCATGAACATCACCATGTCCCCGACATCGTCGTCAATGGCCTCGTTTTCCTACAAATAAAAAAGCCAGAAAAGAAAGGGTGCGCAGCAATGTGCGCAGGAGGGGAGAAGAGAGAGGGTGGAATAATAAAACCAAACAGGGCAGAAAAAAGTCCCAACCAGCCGGTTCCAACACATACCGTTAGCACAACCAGCATCTCCCATCAACAACAAACCCAGCAAAGAAATGACAGCAACAGCCAGCGCAGAGAGGCAACAAACGCAACTACAGCAGTGACAACAACTGCAACGACGGCAACAACGAGGACAACCGGCAGCAAGAACGTCCTCGGCCTCTACCTGGACGACCAGCGCAAGGGTAAGGCCCACCGCCCCCCGTAGCCCGGCGTAGGTCAGCACCAACATCTGCTGCCAATTCGTGCCATACCCGTGCCTGAAATAGAGGTGTATTTTCGGGGGTCAGTATGTGAGAATGATGAGCGGCGCTCTCGCACTGGTGTTGGGAACAAACGGTCGGCCGTGTACTATGGGGGGGGGGGGNGAGCTCTCATGCGGTAGTGTCGCACATGTCTCAGTTGGCTCCGGGGATTCCAAACAGAAGGAAAATTTTCAAAAACTACGTCGCACAAATAGCAGGAGGCGCCAGGACGTAAGAAAGCCAGCAATCATCCACGAACAGGATCATTTCCGGCCGTGCACCCTTGTGCACTCTTCAGTCGCCAAGGGGCGTGGAATCTGCCAACACGCACTGTACGGATAAACCACAATTTCACCCTTCTCGGATTTAATTGCCCCGCATTGAAACTTTCGTCTTCATCGCAGTGGTACAAGCCACTCAGCGCGGTCGGCCCCAATCAAAGAAACATGAAACCAATTTACACAAAGCGACACATGCACACAAGTCACACACAAACACGAAAAAATGAGAAACTTACTGAAAGCCGTCAGAGAGAGAGAACGAGCTAGAGAGACAGACAGAGACAGAGACAGAGATAGATAGATAGACAGGGACAAACAGAGAGAGAGAGAGAGAGAAACAGAGAGAGAGAGAGAGAGAGAGAGAGAGAGA